AGGATATACACACAAGAACAAAAAAAACGATATGAGCTCTTCAAAGACACAGAGAAATTACTTCTTCCACTCTAAAAGCAATACCATAAATGTAGTAGTCAGGTCACCACATCTCAAGGTAAAAAGTATCTTAGATTTTTCGTCAGTTTAAGAAACTCAATTTCCAACAGTGTATTTCTAGTGGGAGTTTCAGAGCAAATCTATTTTCTGATATATTTTTTTCCCCTGTGCTTCTGAACGAAAGCAAGGAACTCTGGCCGTTAATGTTTTATTATACAAAAAAACATTTAGCTATTTTCATTTATTCATTTCATTTGGGAAAGTGAAAAATATATTTTTCTTTGCTTCCTCCCTGCATTTCCAAGGACACAGCCCGTCATCAGTAGCCAGGGTGGGTACAAATGGCGCTCCTGCCCACCCCAGATGACCCGTATTGCTTTCAGTAATGAATATTTCCAGCCCAGCAAACAAAAGCGGGCCTAGCAAAGAACCAACTGTGACCACCGTGGTCACCACCAGGCCTAGGAAATGGATCCTTGCGAAGGCGGGACGGTATTTCTTGCTTTGGGGGCTGCATTTGTTATTCTGCACCATCTTCAGTACTTTCCATTTGGTCTGTGGAGTCTGTGTGTTCGGTTTTGGAAAGCAGGTGCGGTGCGCAACGCATCCCGACCCACTCCCAACTGTGGGGAGAACGCACTAGCCTCAAGCTATGCAGCAGAGCTCGCAGGGGCCGATTCAGCCGCTAGTCTTTTCAGTCCCCTCTCATCCTCCCTCCACTGCCACAGTCACTGTCCTCAGGGTTTCGTTAATGCAACATTCCGGTTTCCCGCTGGCTAGTTCGCTGTTTAATCGGCTCCCTCAGGGTTTGCAATTCCCCTTTTTGGCTCAGCTTCTTGCGGCTAATCACTTCTCAGTTCTCTTTTAATCAATTTTCATGTTATTCCTGTGTGGTGCTGCGGAATCTCCTATGCCAAACAATGTGTGTCTGTGGGCTGGGCTGTCAGTATGACCCTACACAGAAAGTACTTTCTGCTTTTTTTTTTTTTTAACCCAGATTGAACCTGGGGTGCTTAACCACTGGATCACATTCCCAGTCTTTAATTTTAAAAACTTTAATTTTGGTACAGGGTCTCGCTAAGTTGTTTAAGGCCTCATTAAATTGCTGAGGCTAGCCTCTAACTCGCAATCCTCCTGCCTCAGCCTCCCAAGCCACTGGGATTACAGGCGTGTGGCACCAGGCTCAGCTTTCCTTTAAAGTGTAAATTTAAAAAGAAAGTTTAAAGACTCGGTTTAGTTGACTTTAATTTCGAAAAAACTAAAGTCACCACCAATGCTCTTAAAAACAGCAAAAGCGCAGAGACTGAGCCAGGCCGGGATTAGCTCGGACTCCGCGATCCTGAGGCTCTTAAGAAGGAAGACTCAGAATCCCTGTCGCAGGGCGGCTGGAGGGACGAGAGTGCGTGATTATTCCCAGACTCTTCCCAGGGTCCTCTGGGAATGCCGCCTGCGTTTTCTGCTTTCGGTTGCGTCCCCGCAGATCCGAAACGCGCACCTGCGGGACCCGAATTAAACTTTTCATCTGCTTGTTTACTTTTCCCGTGGAGACTCTGAAATGCGTGGACCCCGGGGACATTCCAACCTGTTGCACTTTTCGTTTTGCACCCAATTCCCTGAAACTTTTTCATCAAATATCAAAGCGACGCACGAGGCGTGAAGAAACAGTAGCTTCAAGGATAGCACTGTTAACTGAGCCTCTAGGTAACTCGCAGCCTGAACTTCGGGTGCTGAGTTCATGGCTCAGGTGGTAAACCACTGAGGGTACTCACCCTCAAACCTCTCCGCTGCCAGCCCTCCTACCCCCAGCCACCCGAAGGGCATATACCCACTTCGCGCTTCCTCTTTGTCTCACACATTCGGCACAGAGCTTGCCTCTCCTCTCCCTGCCTTAGGGTACCTGGCTCAGGTTCCGAGGCCGCTTGGGGACCCTCACACCTCTTCTGCCTCCGTGGGCGTCCAGCCCCAGGCAGAGGAGTCAAGTCCTGCATGCATTCTCTGCTGGGTGGCTTCCGCGCCGCTGGAAGCCACACTTCACTTTGTCGCAAGTAGTATCCAGGGCACGAGAAAAACTACGGTGCCAAACCCAGCTACGCAAAACTGCGGAACCCGCGAGCTCTTTACCTCTTTGCTTTCAGCGCTGACCAGTAGCTGCCCCCAGGCCCTGGAGAGGATCAAGCTACATCCGCGGAGGTGAAGAGACGTTTATTTTTCTTCCGCAATCCCACCTTTGGGTCACCTCTCCCTTGGTCTAGCAGGCTGCACTGGAACCCGCGGAGCCCAGCTGGGGGCCGACAGGGGGCGACAAACTGTAAGATTTTCCTGATGGCCGGCTGGGCAGAGGGCTGCAGAATGCTGAGTGGTCCCGACCCAGAGAAACTGGCTCCCGGGAGCGGAGGGGCGGGAGGGGGGTGAGGTGAGGACCCCGCGAGTTCTGTTATCCCGGAGAGTCTCCCAGGCGCATCCCTCCCAAATCTTTCCCCAACACTTTTTCCAGCTAGGGTCGGCCTTCCCTGGAAAGAAAGGGGTGACGTACTGACTTCATTTCTTTGCCCGCGCCCCGCGCTCTGCTTGGCAGAAGCAGGTTGGATGTTCTTCCGAGAGGGTAATTGGAGCGAACCAGCTCTCAGAACAGTACGACTTGCTTTACTTGGTTTTTGAGAGTGCCTGTCCACTCACCTACAGGGGAAAGAAACGACCTTAGCTGCTTTTGCGAATCACCAGAATGCACTGGATTGAAGTGGGGATGCTGTGTTTCTCAAATCTCAAAGACATCACGGTATAGGAATCCACCTTTCTTGGTATCCCTTGCCTGATTTGAAATTCGGACAACGAACCTCCAGTTCAGAGGTTAACAGGTTCCAAAATGCCTAGAGGGAACTGAACAGGTTATGTTATCTCCACTCTCCAAAGCCTCAGAATATCCAGCAGGTGTCCCGTGTAGTCAGTGTCCTCTGCTTGGTGCCTTCGCAGAACCCCTGACTCTAGCCTGCCCACCATAAATCCAAAGCTTTCCTTGGATCCTTACCCCAACACTGCACCGTTCTGACAGGCCTTATCTTCCATATGGGTTTTCCCCGCTCCCAGTCTTGCATCCTCTCGCTCATGCACTGACCCCCCAAACATCTCTCCTGTCCTGGCGAACCTCCCGGGGCTCCCAGAGGGTGCCAGAGTGTAAGGGTCAATTCTTTGGAACCTGCCCTTCCCTCTCATGGGTTAATCTTGCTCTTGGCCCCAGTTTCCGCCCCTCTGGGACTTCATGCACCATCTCCTGAGAGTCTAGGATTTATGGCTCAGACCCTTCAAACTGACACTTTAGGATAGGTTGATTAAGAGTCAGCGATGCTCTCTGGCCCCGAAGTCCAGAGGGGAAAAAGTCTGGGCCTCCACTCTCTCGGCTCCCCCAGCGGCGCCTTGGAAGACATCAGTGCGCAGGCGCAGCGAGAGGCCCAAGGCTACTCTACCTGGAAGGATTGTGTTTGGGGAGCTGGATGTTTTCTTGTTTTTGGAGGAGTGCTGTAAATGCTTGGAAGTACCAGGAATCCCTCCTAAACCCTTTCTATTTTGGCGCTTTCAGCGCAAAGCACTCAGAGTTTTGTCCCCCCGCTGGAAATTCTGATTTCCTTGGTCAGTTCAGGTGCAAAATAAAATATTTTCCCTCTCACTTGCTTTCTCCTGGCCCCCCTCCGCATGGCTTCTTCTAAGACTCTCACAGTTAGCAATACAGATTGGCAGGTTGAAGAAGAGTAGAAAAGATTTGGCGTTTGGGCTGGGGGTATAGCTCAGTTGGTAGAGTGCTTGTCTAGCATGAATAAGGCCCTGGGTTCAATCTCCAGCACCACCAGCACCGGCACCACCACCACCCCAAAAGATTTGGCGTTTATCGCCAAAGAATGCAGGGATCCCCAAACCCCGCTTAAATGAAGGTCAAAGAACCATTCTGTGGTTTAGCAGAGACCTCCTGGAGGCTGCAGGTGCTGGGGAAAGGCGAGGCCAGACCGACTCAGGATGAAGGGTCGGGATTACAGTACTTGAAAGGGACTATTCTTCTGGCCTATGCTGGAGCTTTGCCTTCGGCCTCCTGTGAATGGCCAGGACACACTTGAGGACCAGAGGCAGCAGATCGGAATCTCTTTCCCGTCTGCTCCCTATGTCACCTCTTTGAGGGAAATGAGTTCTGGTGGGTGGGCCGCAAGACAGAATCTGGAATGTGCCCCTCTCGGGTCATTGAAATTGCTGTCTATTTCAAGGGAGCGGGTGGATATTAGACATAAAAATTTCCTGAGAGCAGCGCTGGGGAGTAGACCAGAAATGGGATACCCAGGAGTCAGCTCCCCAGGAGCCCTGTATCAAACTAGATCCTCACTCTCCTCTTTCACCTTGACGCTCACACCCAGCTAGAGTATGACTCTATTCTTGCGGAGCTCCTGCCCAGGAGGGTACTTCACCCTAAACACCTTGCCTTGATCAACTTTTACCCTGATGTCTCATTAGTAACGATGGGTAGAGGTGGTAATAAAACTAAAACCCAAACTAGTACTAGTACTAACACACATAATCAGTTTGAAATGACTTCCCAATCATCCCCAAAGCCAGACAAGAAAGGGGCTGCAAAGGTCTGGGAGCAAGTGCCCTGTCCTAGGTCCAGCTGGGTTTGGAAATTGGGGCGGTGTGTGTTTTGGAGTGTGTGTGTGTGTGTGTGTGTGTGTGTGTGTGTAAAAGGGGGAGTGCTGGTTCCGGAGGGGGGTGGAGAAAAGCAGGGAGGACAGAAGGAGGAGGTAGAGTTTCAGGGCGGAGAGGGGGGCGCCTGGGCGCAGCGACGGGAACCAATGAGCTGCCAACTCGCGCGTCTTCTGCGTGACTGCAGAGATTGACGTGGAGGACACGTCAAATTGATTCCCGCACGCTGCAGCTTCCCGGTCAGACGAATTTCTCCCAATCGGATGAAGTTCACCCTGGGCCTGGGGTCGCGGGCGTGGAGAGTGTCCTGGGAACGGGCGACAGAGGCGGGAGCAAGTCCTGGGGCGGGCAGTGGCGCGCTCCGCGGCGGCGCACTGCGCGTCTCCAGCCCGCGGCCCGGCCGCCGCGGATCTAGGCTCGCGCACGCCCTCCCTCTATGCCTCTCCGGCGGTGGCGGCGCCCGAGCTCTCCCGGACTGCTCCGGGCCCAGCCCCCGCCGCTCCGGCGCCAGGCAACTGGTTGGCTCAGGCGCTATGGGTAAGAGGCGAGAGGCAGGCAAGGCGCGGGAGGGCTGGTGGGGTGGGTCGCGACTCCGCGCCTCCCTGCCCTCTGCTCTGCTTTTCCTGGGCAAAAACAGTTCTGGGTCCTGGACGACCCTCATTCTCCTCATATACCCAGCCCTCGAGGAGCAATTCCTCAAGTTGGGGAGGGGGTCTCAAGTAGGCGCGCCCAAAGTTGAATGCTAGAGCGCGCAGTGAGCCCCTCTGCGGTCCCCAAGACTGCTCAGCCTCTTAGAGCAGGACTCAGGCAGTTTGCCTTCGGACTCTGAGCTGTCTGGGGATCTGTGGGTCACCTTCCGAGGCGCGACTGGGTGTTGAGGGCTGTGCCCAGCCAGACTGCAGCAACTGGGTATAGTCCATCGCCAGGCGTGGACATCCTTGGCTAACCCACCGGTGTTTTCTCCCCCTCCTGCTCAATTCTCGACCGGCGCGTCCGCAGAGCAGACCTACGGCGAAGTGAACCAGTTGGGCGGCGTGTTCGTCAATGGCCGCCCCCTGCCCAACGCCATCCGCTTGCGCATTGTGGAATTGGCACAGCTGGGCATCCGACCCTGTGACATCAGTCGGCAGCTTCGCGTCTCCCACGGCTGCGTGAGCAAGATTCTGGCGCGCTACAATGAGACGGGCTCCATTTTACCCGGGGCCATCGGGGGCAGCAAACCCCGCGTCACCACCCCCAACGTAGTAAAGCATATCCGGGACTACAAGCAGGGGGACCCCGGCATCTTTGCCTGGGAGATTCGCGACAGACTGCTGGCCGACGGCGTCTGCGACAAGTACAACGTACCCTCGGTGAGCTCCATCAGTCGCATCCTGCGCAACAAGATTGGCAGCCTAGCGCAACCCGGGCCTTACGAGGCAAGTAAGCAGCCGCCGCCGCAACCTGCACTGCCTTATAACCACATCTACCAGTATCCCTACCCCAGCCCGGTGTCGCCCACCGGCGCTAAGATGGGTAGCCATCCCGGGGTGCCGGGCTCGGCGGGCCACGTCAGCATTCCGCGTTCATGGCCCTCGGCACATTCGGTCAGCAACATCCTGGGCATCCGGACGTTTATGGAGCAAACAGGTCAGTCGTGGTGCCTTCTGTAGCCCTCTACTAAAGGACAGACTTGGGAGCGGGCAGATATGCAGGTGATGGGTTATACTCGCCCTCGTTTTTTAGACTGGTTCTGGCTCAGGAAAGTGTTGGGGGGAAGCTGGGGGTCCAGGATCCTTCTGTGGGAGCCCTCGGACATCTTGAACTTTTTATGACAAATATGGAAAATATTTCCCAAGTGGAAGAGTAGTCGCCGACCACAAATCCGAAGGCCTGAAATTGCATTTTTTTTTTCATTTTGCAAAAAGAATGCAAACCCCTATCGCCAAATCTAAACCAAACAAACTTCTCAGGCCATTCTGCTACCCTATCTTTAGCTTTCAGGATCCCTCACAGTTACCCAGTATTCTGTCCACCCTCCCAGATCCAGGGGGCTCTTCTGAGAAAAAGGAGTCCTGTGGTCAGTCTTATGCAGTGTCCTAGATTTCTATCAGGTTCCCTTGGCCTTGCAAGTCCTGCGACAAGTACAAGGAGCTGGATTTGCCAGTAATGGCCACCACCTGCTGCAGCTACAGTCACAGGACTTGCCCTTTGACTGTAATTAAAACATAACCAGCTGTTGGTCATCTCTGGTGAAGTGAAAAGTGGGAGGTTTGGGACAACTATGGTGTCTGCCTATGGAAGGTCATGTGTGGACCAAATCTGGCTGTCTTCATACAGTTGGCAGGGGAATGGTGTTCTCTTATGGTAGTAGAATCAGTAGGAGGGTAAGAAGCAAAATCCATCATAACCCTGAGAAAAAAAGGGCAGCTTAAAAGAAACTTGAATGCTTTTACCCTTGTTTCAGTGGGGCAGACCTCTCAGCATACTGTTTTTCCTGGGGCTCTAACAGTCTGAGCTGTGGCGGAGTCATATTTTAACCAGCAGCCGCTAGGCCAGTGCTCAGATCTGGAGCTTTCCCTCTTTTCCCCCAAGTGCACATAGGCGCTAGGAGCAGCTGTGTGTCTGGAACACTTCACTGGGTCCCAGGATTGACTCCTCTTTTAGAGTAACAGGATAGATCTCTCTCTCAATCCCCTATATGCTTATTGAAACGTTAAAATATCTACACAATATTCGGCAGGCTGCCACGAATTTGAACTTGGATCTTTCAGAAATGCCGTCTTTGGAGAGTGGAATAGCTGCCTTGGCCTGGTGTGTCTGGTCCCTGTCCCCTTGGGCCGTGGTTTTCGTGGGAAGCGGGTCCAGGGCTGAGAGGAAGGGATAGTAGGCGCCTTCACCTTTCTTTCTCCTAGCCAGCTAGGAGTGAAAGCGAAACCCAGGTCCCGCTGCTTTTGTGCTTCCGATTGCTCCCTGGATTGTTTGACCATCTCCAGGTGTTCCAGTGGACGTCTAGTTGAGCCTCTGGATACTAGCCTGGGTAGTTGATTGTTGGCGCGCGTCTGGGTTGGAGGGTCAAGCCTAGATTCGAATGTGCGTTTTAATCCATTATGTGTCCCCAGCAGGGGCCCTGGCCGGGAGCGAAGGCTCCGCCTATTCCCCCAAGATGGAAGAGTGGGCCAGCGTGAACCGCACGGCCTTCCCTGCCACCCCAGCAGTGAATGGGCTGGAGAAACCTGCCTTGGAAGCGGACATTAAATATACTCAGGTAACCCGGACGCAGGGGAGGTAGGTGACTTGCACTAAGGGTCTCCCAGGAGAAGTCTACCTGGCAGGCAGATCTTGTGTCTGGCGCCAAGCAGAAAATTTTTGTACTTTCCTCGAGAGCCCTAGTATGGGGGCGGGGGGGGGGGAAGCTGGCTTTTGAGGGGATTGATTTGCCTTTTGCCAAGGTTCCTATGCTAACAAAGCTGAAAGTTCCAGACCACACTCCGATGGTGTGTACCATGACTTCTTTATCTTTTATTATCGTTTATAACGTTTGAATAGATTTATAGAAATCATTTTACCAAAGAAAGAGTCCTTACTAGGAAAACCAGAGACTAGGCCTTGTGTAGATATAACTGACAAGGGCAGCAGGGTGAAGTGAAGGCCCCACTCCACAAGTCAGCAATCGCGTGTACTGGAGAAGATAGGGTCTTCTGACTCTCTACTGATTCTCTGTGCCTCTTTACCCCGCAGTCGGCCTCGGGCATCTCGGCTGTAAGCAGCTTCCTTCCAGCCTGCGCTTACCCAGCCTCCAACCAGCACAGCGTATATAGCGCGCCAGGCGGCGGGTACCTTGCCCCCGGCCCGCCTTGGCCACCGGCGCAGGGACCCCCGCTGGCACCCCCAGGGGCCAGCGTCACAGTACACGGCGGGGAACTTGCCGCAGCAATGACCTTCAAGCATCCTAGCCGAGAAGGTGAGGGGCTGAGGCTGGGAGGGGATCCGATGAAGGGGTAAGGAAGGGTGGAGAGGAGAAGGGTGAGCTACCAAAAAGGAGCGGTGGAGGTGGGGGGACAGCGCAAAGAGAAGGAGGAAGAGGAGGAAAGCCGCTGGGCATAAATTCTTGCTTTAAGTTTAAGGTTAAGATAGTAATCTTGTCCCTTCTTGAGCAAATTAATTTCCAACAGGTGTTCCTAAGAGACACCTGATGTTGAGGGAGGCCCTGACACATAGACAGTGGGGAAAGAGGGTCAGTTCTGCAAACAGGACTCCTGGGTTTGGATCTGCTTCTTGTACTTTGGCCAAGTTATTGCTCCTCTCTGGGTCTCAGTTGCTCCATTACCAGAAGAGCCTAGAAAGCACCTTCGAGGCCCACATTTCTGTGACCTGCTAAATTTTTATTTAATCCATGATCAGGGTCATGAGAGGCATCTTCTTACCCTGCCCATCAAAATTTGATTTTCCCTTTAATATGGGAAAAGTTTATTCACACATGAGTTTCCATTTTCTTCCTTGATGCAAGAAATGGTCGGATTTGCTAATTTTGAACCTGCCTGTGTTTAGATTCTGATCACCAGAGATTGGCAGTTTCACCTACTTTGGGGCCAAATAAGGGGGAGGCCGACATCTCAGGGGGTCCCAGCCTCAGCAGAGAAGGGGACAGGGCACAGGACCTGAAGGATGGAGTGAGGCCCAAAAGATACTCCTGAATTACAAAGAGACCTTTACCAGTTGATTTGCCTCACACCTGCTGAGTGTGTGTGGGGGTAGTGGTGGCAGGTGGTAGTGGACTGGCAGGTGACCTGAGTGGCTTCCTCCTTGTTGCCTCCTAGACAAAAATTGCTGTTTCCAAATAGTCTTGGTGAGATAGGATGGCATTTATCTATGTGTGTGTAGGGGGGAATTAAGTGCCATCCATAGCAGTGAAGGAACTTTCCTATTTCTACCTTTTCTAAAACGTACACATCCTGGAATATTAGCATATGCTGATTTGCCTAATTATAGACACATTTTTCCTAATTATAGACAAGCAAAATAAATTTACAAAAATTGAGAATTAGAACTTCTTTAACTTTTAAGTAACAGGATAATACCACTTGTTCATTTAGAGGAAAACTCAGATGAAGGAAATTTTAGAAAGAGACACCCATCCTCTGTGAAGCCCAGGGATGTCTGTTGAAATTAAAATAAAAATGGAATTTTTATCGTTGCACAAATAATTTTACTGAGAAGGTACATTTAAATTCAAAAAATAAATCTACAAATTTAAATGATTCCTGCTGGGTTGACCCCAAGGAAAGGAAGACTTAGAAAAAGGACCCAGTGTCTTTTAAAGATGCAGTCATTTTCCAATAGAGTCACTTTGTTTTGGAGGCACTTCAAAACTCCACAGTATAAATAAATTTGTGAAGTGTAAATAATTAACAATCCAAAGGTAAAATGTAAAATATTCTAAACTAATTCTACTAAATTTTGGAGGGGATGTAACTTTAACAGTTTGGCTTATTGTTGATTGACTTTCTTTAGTAGATATTACATTGGTGATTAAAATAATAATAATTTAATGTTATGATCCTTACAGTTCTTTAAAAGGTTCAGGTAAAGGATCAAGGACTAACTCAGGTCCATCAATAATGATGATTTATTAAATGTTTTTTTGTTCAAAGAGCATAAAATAATTATTTATTATGTGTCTATTTTCACAGCATGAGAATTATATATACACTTGGGTTATGAATTTTTTGATAGAAAAACTGACTTCAACCCCTGCCCCAACTGGTCCTTGAAAAGTAAAGTAATACAAATTACTGTCACTTATTTTCTAATCATTTCTTGAAATTAATATCTTCAAAGAAACCTAACCCATAAGATAGTTTGTTGTCACTAATTGCTCAGTTTTTTATGGTAAGAATAGTATTCACTAAATTTCTTTTCGGTAGAAAAAATTTCATTAGAAAAACTGAAAACAAGTCAATATCATGAATCCTCAGTAAAAATGCTTTTGATCATCTAGTGCATACACATGACAATGACACATTCACATATATATGTATATGTGTATATATATATATCTTGCATATATATGCACATATAAATATGTATATCCTTCAAATTATACATAGGTACAGTTAGACATCTTATAGTTATCAGAAGGAAAGCCTTTTCAAATGCCAAATTATGCATCACAATTTATTAATTTTATTTTGGGAAAGGTAATGGGTTTGGGTACTCTACTATGTAGGCAAGAAAATATGATCTACATTTCCCATCCCCTGAAGAAAGCTAAATCTTAGGAACTGAGCAAAGAATAGGAAAATCCACTTCATCTTCATGTGGAGGGGCTAATGTTCTATAAATTTAACAGTTATCCAAACGTCTTCATAGCTGGGGGAGACCCCCTCCTAAAGTGAAAGACCCCCACCAGACCCCCACCAGACATTCCCTCAAGACAGTTAGTATTTGCAGCAGTATTTTTAGCAACCACCTTACTGTCAGGGTTTAAAAATCCCTCACAGCAGGTTTTAGAAAGTCTAAAGATTTGGAAATCACATCTGTAAGATATTGTATACATACATATAAAGAAAATGTGTTGTCTATATTTGTTAAAGGTAACTTGCAGCTTTCCCCCAATTATCTCTGCTTCAAGATTAGTTTTTAGGAGATCCTAAAACCATCACTAGAGCGCTGGCATTCGTTCGCCATAGAACTCCCCTGCCAATGCCGGGCTCTTTTGACCTCGCTCTGGGAGACTACTTCCCAGATCACCCGTGCCTCTGTTGAAAGGTCCCCGTGCAGTGGCCAGTTGCGATCCCTGATCCCTGTATTTTTAAAAAGGTCTGTCCATATTCCTTACCCCACCCTCCCCTAGCCGAGTAAACGAGCTTGCAGAGCTCCTAAAACGGGTTTTTTGCTTCGAATCCCCCAGACAAACTCACCCACATTTCCTTGAGTCCTATGATAGGAAACAGAATGGAATGGAAGGGGAGAGTGGGTCCCAGGGAGGGATTACAACAGAAAGAACTAAAAACACAGCAGGATTCGCCCCTGAAGGTGGGGTGGAATCTAGCTGCGGGATTCCAGGTGTTTATTTTTCAGGAGCCCATTTTCTTGCTTGTCTCTAAGGTAATCGACCTTTGGTAGAAACACCTCCTCCCCCTCAGATGTTTTCTAAACAAATCCTCACTTTGAAGTGTGTGTATAGAGTGAAAAGAAAAGGTCTTAATACTTCGTTGACTTGGCAGTCACAACTGTGTTTAGGAAAGAGCTGAAAGGTGGGGAAAAGCCCAGGGGTCTCTTTCTATTGGAAAGGTCTGTGGACCTCTTTAAAATCTCTGCGAAACCAAATGTGTGTGTGTGTGTGTGTGTGTGTGTGTGTGTGTGTGTATGTTTCCCTGGCACATGAGGTGTGGGTTCTTAGTTCAGGCAGTCACAGCAAGTTGTGCCTGGGTCTGGGGTGAGAACTTCTGCAGGAGAGAAGAAGGAGGGGGCGGGTGGGTGTGGGAGACTTCTTTCTCAATCCAAATTGAGGCTTCTAAACTCTTCCTTTAAAGGAGGATTTATTGGCGGAAAAACAGAAAATGGAAAATAAGCCCCTTTAGGTATAAACAGCTTGTGCCTTCTTCTGGTGCAGGAGAAGCTGAGCGCCCGGGACCGGGAAAGGAAAAATAGGGTTGCACAATCATAGCGTCACTTTTTGGCTTCCAGTAGCAAAACTTGGGCCCCTTCCCAAAACCCCAAATAATAGAGCAATACACAGAATACCGCCTGATCTGGCAAGCTGACTGTCACTTAATACGGACGCCCGTCGGCCCTAGGACGTGCTGTGCTGGCAGTGGTGAGCGCATCTGGATCCCCAGATCTCGTGGGTACAACGAACTCTGCAGCTCCCTCAAAGCGTAACCTCTTCCTGTGTCAGAGGGCTTCAGGCTGCACCCAGCAGGAATATTTGTTTGGGGGCTCTTTTTCCACATGATTTTTCCCTGTGCCCACCTCAAGAGCGCCCGGAGCTGAGCCGCTGGCATCAGCGGAGATGATTACGCCTTGCACCTGTATGCTCGGTTGCGCTGCTGCTGCGAAGATGTCAGCTCTTGGCTTCTGTCCGCTCCTGTCCGCTCCTCTCTGGTGGAAGCCCCCATTGGATCTGAAAACCTCTCTCTTCCTGCATCAGTCACCTCCTTTACTAAGCCGGTAGTGACAGAGTTGAGAGGTAAAAGAAATAGCATCCGGTGTTCACCACCAGGAGTTAATGGTGGTCCAAGTGACCATTTATGAGATCCACTTGTCCAGCTCCCTTTATACTTGATTCCCTTAAGTTTTCAATTCTTTATAGATCGGTGGTAAATAATGAGTTAAAGGGAGAGGGAGGGCGGGCATCTGTGGGCTCTTGAGGCCTTTGGAGAGCACTAAGCAGCGAGCGCATCCAGCCCCGGTCCTGCAGGCATCCTGGCTCGCTCTTGGCAAGGTGCTAGGCAGTGACCCGATGATCCTGTGCTTCCTCCTACAGTGGCCGACCGGAAGCCTTCCAGTCCAGGGGGCAAGGCCCCCGATGCCCTCAGTAGCTTACATGGACTTCCCATCCCGGCCTCCACCTCCTAGGGGCAACTCTTCCCCAGCCCCAGCCTGAGCCTGAGGAAACTGCGGAAGGCTGGACGGCCCAGGGCGCGCAGCTCCGCCCTGCAGCGGTGGCGCAGGAAGACCCTAGGACACGCAGAGGAGGAACCAACCCGGGCCGGCGGCAAGGACACATTCAGTCAACCCCTGGCTACATTCTGCCTCTAGCCTGGGCAGCACAGTTTCTTTATGGGCCGGGGTATTTTGACTTTTCTGAACTTTGGCTTTAGACCGTTGCACCCTCGTGGAGATTCTTGCTCCGACTTGGCGTCCCTTGCCCTGCCAGACTCAAATTTCTTTTTCTTTTTTTTTAATCATCTTTTTTCTGCTCTTCCTCCCTTCCTCCTCCCACTTCTCTTTCTCTCTCTCCCCTTTTCTTTCTTTCCTTTTTCTTTCTTCCATCTCATCCTACTTTACCTTTCTCTCCCTCCCTTCCTTGGCTTTGCCCTCTCCCCCACCTCTTTCCTTCTATTTTCCCCCTCCTCCCCTTTCCTTTGGCTCATCCTGGTGGTCCATGCTCTTCCTTTTCTTTTTACCCCTTTTATCTATGGGGGCTTTATTTCCTTTCATCTGTACAGCTTCCTTAATCCTGTACCTTTCCCTGTCTGGAAAGCCCCAGACCAGTCCTGTGACAGTTCCTTCTCTGAAGCTCCCCAACCCTTTGAGTCCCTTAGGTCTAAGGGGTCTTGGAACTTAGAAAATGGACAGAGAAGCCACAGAACTCCCCCCACCCCCGTGTTATTTTTAGTGCTGAGAATAGAATTCAGGACCTGGTACCTGTGGGACAAGCCTTGTATCACTGAGTTACATCCCCAGCCCTGCCATAGCCTCATTTTATGCTTTTATAACCAACCAAAACACAACCTTGGTGGTCAAACTGTCTTCTTTCCCTAGTATATTGGTGGAAGTCTGTATTTTCTCAGTGCTTGGTGGCTGGGCTTCTCTTTACTTCTGAGATGATGTCACCCCAAAGAAGATTGGGGTAAGAGTAAGGGACAGAGTAAGGGACAATGGGGCTGTCGGTGTTTTCAGTAATTAGAAAACTAGGGATCCTGGAGGATCCCCCTCCCACCCCTCAACTCTCAAAACTTGGGTAAGTGACAGATGGTAAAGGTACTGGCATTGATTTTGGTGTTCAGGGACCAGAATGATTGCTAACTTAAACCACAAACTGCTTCCAGGTACCAAGGTTCATTTGGGCTTCTTGTTCAAAAAGGTGGGTGGGTGGGCTCAGAAAGTGTCTGCTAGAACTAGATACATGGGCTATTCACTGATTTCAAGTCCAGGCGCATTGGTGGTGGGACCCTGGGGGTATAATGCAATTGTGTAATCTTAAAAAGATCATTGGTGAAGAGTCTGACATCACCTGTTAAATGTGGATGCCTTTGAATAAAGGAAAGCATCTGAAACTTACTTGGTAAGGGTGAGCAAGTCTGTGTCCCTGTGTTGTTTTGTGTACTTATCACAAAGCTACCCCAGTCCCTGACTTCAAGGGATGAACACTAATAGAGGAAATTATTTAATTGGTTTATTTATTATTATTTGCAACCCTGGTTGGGCAACAGGTAGGAAGAGAAAGTGGAATGAGTATTTGTTAATGGTTGGGCACCCCTGATGTACCTGACAGCTCCTTTTCCCCTTTGTTATGGGCTTGATTTCTAGAGTCCTAGAAAATGCAGGATGAGCCATGGGGAACTGAGATAGACAATATGCAGAAATCATCCTAAAGTGGGCAAAAGGCAATGAACAACAACAAAGGGCTTCCCCCACCCCCAGAACATTTCTAACATTCTAAAAGCTAAAGGAAATTATCTCAGGTTACCAAATAATTTTTTTTTTTCAACTACAAAGCAGTTTCTGGCTGGTGGTTTTGTTTTTCCTCCTCGTTTGGCTTTCTAAAACTGATGGAAGAGATTTTTGAATTGAAGTTATTGCTTGTAAGTGGAGCTGCCTGCTTGTGCTTGGTCTGCTCTGGACCCATCAAGAAAACCAGTGGGAAATGGTTTTCATTGCACCTTTTTTTTTTTTTTTTTTTTTTTTTTTTTTTTTTTTTTTTTTTTTTAGCCACAGTACCTATTTTTTTTTCCACATAGATATTTTTCTTCTCAAGTTTTCAAAGCCTCTTGTCTTTGAAAAAAGTTCCATTTTATAGACAGGTATACTAAAGATCTGGGATTTAGTTTAATTTTTTAGACTATATAGCAAGTTGTGATTCACAGAGCTTGGAAATGAAAAATGGGTGACTTCTGTTCATTTAAGAATCAGGACTGAGACATGAACTTGGAGATGGGAGTTATCAGACTTCTGAGTGCCAGCTTCTCTAAGCTGGTCAGAATGATGTGAAAAAAAGGGTTTTCCCCAAGTGCCTGTGCCCTCAGCCTGCCTTTGTGTGATACGATGAATATCACATACTCAGTCATGACATTACAGACAGGATTTTTATGTGTCCATCTTGCTGCCTGGAGAAGTACTGGCATGCTTAGGACGGGCAAGACATCATAATACTTTCTGAAGAAATGAGAAGCATTCATACAACAGTCTCTATCTTTGACTTGTCACCACCTCATTTCTCTGCCACTTTTCACTTCTGTGTTCAGGCTGCTTAGGGTTAAGAGGGAGAAGACCTGGGAAACACAACCCAGAGTGATGAAAGGTGCCTAAATTTTCAATGGCAACTGCAAAGGAAAGTTTTTTCCACATCTGTCTTCTAGAGTCTTTATGTCCTGTGGCTAAAGGTGAGTTTTTCAGAGTTTTTTTTTTCATTGACAGAAGACAGGTGGCCTTCAGTTACAGTGCAAGCAGACTTTGGCATTTCATGTAAGATACAGAGGGAGGAGCATACCTTTTCTTTTGATACTGGCTATGGAGAATCCCAATGAACTTGGCTTAAATTCCACTGCATGAACACAGAAGGCTGTGCCTCTCTGTGCGTCTGTGTTCTCATCTGTGAAATGCACACTTCAAATGCAGTAACACCTGCAATGACCTGGCCTGTGGGGAGACTGGCACTGGCATTGCTTCACCTCTCTTTAGGTGTTAAAAAAGGATTTGTTGCTGGGGTGGTGGTGGTGGACTGGGGGTGTAACTCAATGCTAGAGTACTTGCCTAGCATGCATGAGACCCTGGGTTCCACCCCCAGGAAAGAATGAACACACACACACATTTAGAGGAATCACTAGTAAGGTTGATGAGGTACCCAGGATTTAAATACTTTTCAAAGGATCCTATTGGAAGATTGAATATTTTTTTTCTTCACTCATATGAATCTGTGACAGTATTGCAAACTTCTAATAAAATTATATAGTACCATGTCAGGTAGAAAAATCTGAGAAAGAATCACTTCTTGGGCTGGGGTTGTGGCTCAGTGGTAGAATGCTTGCCTAGTATGTATGAGGCACTGGGTTCAATTCTCAGCACTGCATATAAATAGATAAAATAAAGGTCCATTGACAACTAAAAATATTTAAAAAAATAATCACTTCTCAAAGGTAGTTTATCTTTGCATTAGCCCCTGTCTTTTATTTTTTTTTTAATTTAGGAATAAAATTGAGATAGGTAAAAGGGATATTTGTATCATTTTAAAAATGTAGAGATCCCAAAGAAATTAAACAAAGACAGACATATCTGTGCTTTGATGGTTTTGAATCAATGAGAGTAATATAAATCCATCATTAAGCCCAATCAGCATTGAGACATTAAAAAGGGAACTAAGCTGGGCGTGGTGGCACACACCTGTAATCCAGGTGCTCAGGAAACTGAGGCAGGAGGATTAAAAGTTCGAGGTCAGCCTGGGCAACTTAGTGGAACCCTGTTTCAAAATAAAATAAAAAGGGCTGGGGGTATAAAACAGTGTAGAATGCCCCTGGGTTCAATGTCCAGGAAAACACATACATACATTTTTCAAAGAAACTTTCGTTTCTTTCTACTTTCATCTCTCTCCTTAAAGGTGGATATTTTATAAACACAGGAAAAAATATGCATGCAGTGGAGTATGTGTTTCTGTCCATCTGCTATTTAAAAGTGCACACCAAAATGTTGTGCAACACACACAGATATGGTGTGCAGATCTGCTCTCTGCATACCAACAGCTTTAGCACCACCACATTCACTTTATTCTCTTGAATGGATGCATATCAACAAGGGTTTATTAAAACCACTGTATTTGTTAAGAGGGCCAGCTTCGTGCTTTCAATGAATAAAGATAGGATTTTGTTGCCTTCATTGTTAGAGGAAGTACTTAGAGTGGATTGTAATAACTTCCCTGGGAAAGGTGGCTGCTTTTTGGCAAGGAGGAGGGAAAGCAAACCAAAGGAGAGAAGACTGGAGGGACAAGAGACACAGAGCTTTTGTCCTTTCGGAAGATATCTGGACTTTTTCTACAGATCACTGAAGGACACTGGGAGCTGGGGAAGACAATTTTCCTCCCCTTTAAAAGGGAGTCAGGCTCTTTTGTCAGAAAAGAGAAACAGAGGCAAAAGAGTGGGGGGAAAACAATAAATATTGACATAGATAAAGTTTGAATATCTAATATTGGTACAAACATCCCTTTTACCTATCCCACATCACTGAAATCCTCCATGGGAATTAACCTCTTGATGGGTAAATGTTGCTCCCTGACAACTTTATTTCCCTCATTTGCCTGCTTTTTTTTTTTTTTTGATTCCTGCAAAGAGATTGGGATTTATTTGATTGAACTGTGATCTGAGTAAAGCACACTGTGGGTTTCCTGGCATCAGCTCCCTGACTAGAATTACATTGGCCTGGGTTTCTTTTCAAAAGGAATTCTACCTGCTCCGTGTTATGCTGGATGATATGAATTTAGAATCTTGCCAGAATGTGCCTGAGGAACTCAGTTGAAAGGATCCTGCATCCAGACAGGCCATGTAATGAGAAACATTTGATTCCTTTCTTTTAATGGGTAGGAATTATGCACAAAATGCTATTTGGTCTTCACCTTGACCTTGCTGTCTGAACTATAGCCTCCCTCATTTGAAGAAATATCCTGTGGCTGAGCTATCACTAGCAAACCTTTGTAATCTCAACTTAAATTTTTTTTTTTCCGTTTTTGGATTTTCTTTTTCTTTTTTTTAAGGGCAGAACAAGGAGAAATCTCACTGTCTTCTTTTTCAAGGCCATAAAATGAGAACCACACATTTAGCCCCAATCCAACTTGGGAATTCTAAACACTTGGAACAATTGCACTCAATTTAGTCTAGTCCTTTCTTTGGAGTTGAAACCCCTGTTTCACTCTAAAGAGCATTTTTTTTTTTTTTTTTTAAGAAGATGCAGCCTGTGATTCTCGTTGAAACACACATCTGTTTCTGGGCTGGCCAAATCCAAAAGTGGAATCCCAATTACAGTTTTCATGGGTGATAGAATTTCGACTGTAT